GGCCCAGGCCGATGTAAGAGGAAGGGTCTACAGGGGGGTGGGGGGACAAAGAGGCACAGAGAATATGGAGGCGGAGGCGTGGGAGCCTCCAATGTCATAAACACCCACACCTGCTTCGGCCGCAGCACACAAAGCTAACCTGATTTCATGTGTACTGTGCCTGTGTAGTTGTGTGCGTGTAAATATATATCTAATATAGAAATAGATTTTTATTTTCATTCAACTCATGTATTCCAATTGTTCTTTTTTGACTCATGATTATTCATTTTTGCATTTACAGTTTCAAATATATGGGTATTTCTTAGTTATCTTTTTGTATTGATTTCTAAGTTCATCGCACTGTTGTCGGAGAATGCATTACGTGTGCTGCCAGCCGCTGTGGAGGTCTAAGAGGAAGTCGGTCTTTAGCCTTGTTCCCATGTCTACTTGACGAGCTCACATACGCTCTCAGTGTTGGGTACACTGTTCTATGTATGTCCCACAAGTCAAGGCCTTTGGCTGGGCTCTTGTTGAAACCTCTTCCATTGTAACTGACTTCCAGTTTGCTGGATCTTCCGTGTATTAAGAGAGGTATGTTAAGATCTCCCATTATGAGGGTGGGCATGTCTGTTTCATCTTTTGGTTCTACTGGCTTTTGCTTTATATATTTTCCGACCGTGTCATTAGGAGCACACAGGTTTAAAGCTGTCGTGCCTCCCTCAAGCGCTGAAACTTCTATCATCATGTTATGTCCCTCGTTACCTGCAGTGATGCTTTGTGCCCTTAAGTGTATTCTGCCTGCTATTTATATAGCAACACTGGCTTTTTTTTTCTTTTTTTGCGGGGGAAGAGGGGGATGAAATTTTGGCTGGCATCTTTTTTCACCAATACTTTAAATCCCTCCATGACTTTATATGTTAGGTGTGTCTCATATGTAAAATATGACTGCTTTTTGTTTTGCTGTGTTTTCAGCCAATCTGTCCATTTTTATCTTTTAACTGAAAAATTTTACTCAGCTACATTTATTTTGATTACTGACATAGCTGAATTTTCTATCTTCCTATTACATGAATTTAATATGCTCTATGTGTTCTGTTTCTTCTTTCTTCCTCCTCTCTTGCCTTCTTTTGGGTTCAGGTTTGTTTAAAATTTCCTGTTCCATTTCCCCCTCCATAGACCAGAACTTACAATCTCTACCCCTATCGTTATCCCTAACGTCTTCGCCACGTTAACATGTATTTCTAACCAGGTCTTTACCCTCTGCTCCAGTTATCTCTGATGTGTGACAAACCACCCCAAAGCTCAGTGGCTTAAAGCAACAACTTATTCTTATCTCCCATGGCCTTGTGGGTTGACTGGGTGTGACTGAGCAGTTTTTTGGTTGGGGTCTCTCAGGTAATGGCAGTCAGATGGTGCTTGTGCCTGAGTCATCTGAACATGTGATGCCTAGAATGGCTCCACTCACACTGCACAGTTGATGCTGGTTGTTGGCTGGGAGCTTGGGCCAAGCTGTCAGATGACGCACCTGCATGTGGCCACGTGACCTGAGTGTTTAACAACATGGCATCTGGGTTCCAAGAGGGAGCACTCCAAGAGCCCAGTGGAAGCTGCAGACTCATGATCTAGACTTGAAGTCACAGAGCATCACTTTCGCTGTTTCCATTGGTGACACAAGGCCTGATTCAGTGCAAGAAGGGACTACAGAGGGACTTAATGCAGGAGGTGTGGCTCATGGGGGGGTCACTTTTGAATGCTGGCAATTCCTCTCGAGCAATACCTTAAGACTACTTTCATTCTAATCACATGACTCCCAATTTACCTGCTATTTTTGTTCTGTATTTTATGTAACTTATTATTTATGTCTTATAACTTACTGTTTATATTTAATATCTATGTTAGATTAGTCAATGTTACTGTTTTGTACAAGTTAGATCTTCTCTGAGATTTACCCACATATTTGCACATATTTTTATTGACGTTCCTTCTTTTATCTTGTTTTTTTCCAGCTGAGAGTCATCCTTCTGCCTACTGGGCATTCTGAGGACTTTCCTTAATTCAGAGTTCACTGGTAAACTAACTGGTAAGCCAGTTTTTGTTTGTCTAAAAATACATCCACTTTCCCCTAGATATTGGAAAATCATTTCACAGGGTATATGATTCTAGTTTAATGTTATTTTCTCCCCAGTACTGAAGACATTCCACTGTCTTCCGGGCACCACTGTTGCTACTGAAAAGTCATCATTAGTCTAACCTCTAGTTGTGCAATTGCAGGTCAGTTGTCTCTTCTCTATGGCTGTTTTTCAGACATCCTCTTTAGCTTTGGTGTTTTCCTGTTTCGTTCTCATGTGGCTAGTTGTGGAATTTTCTGTGATTTATCCTCTTTGGGATTTATTGGGCTTTCTGTAAGAACTAGTGCTTTTCAACAATTCTGGAAAGGTCTCAGCCATTATCTCTTCAAATACTGACTTCCACTTCCTGTTATCTCCTTTTAGAGGTCTGTTTAGACCTAGTTGTTAAATATTCCATCCTTATTTTTTTGTCACTGTTTCTTTGTGCTGAATTCTAGGTAATTTATTAGTATTGATCCTCCAGTTCACTACTTCTATCTTCAAATGTATCTATTTTGATGTTTAATTCATCCACTGAGCTTTTAATTTTGACTGTGTTTCTTCTAGATGGTCTTTTAGACTGTTTTTCCCAAGTCTCATTATTCATTTTTATGGTCTTTTAAAATATATCTTTTTACTTTAGACATAGTAAACATAGTTATTTTACATTCTTTGACTTATGTTTGAAGTTTTTGTGATTCTGATTCTGCTGTACATTTCTTGTTGCTGGTTCTCCCTAATGGTGCATGTTTCTTTGTACATTTGCGGGTTTTCACTGTGAAATTGTGAATTCCTGTTCCTTGGAGCTTTATCTGGGAGTAGTATTTGAAGTCTGAGCTGAAGCTCTTGTCCTTCAGACGTGATTTGTACTTATTTCAGCCGGTCTCCTGGACACAATACTGACCTGCAACCATTTTTAATCAAACTCTCCAGTTTCTTTACTTTATTCAGTCTATGGGAAACTAACTTAGTTTTGGTTGTCTGAAAATGCATTCATTATTTGGGAAGTTCTGAAGCTTCGGGAAGCTACACAGGAAATTAACACAGACTCAAATCAACATGTTCATATGAATTCTTGGGGGGACTTTATCCCCCTTCCTTCCACACTGAGGTTGAAACAGGCTAGTTTCCTTACTGTCCACTTTAATGCAGGGGGGTTATGTCTCTTTTATCCTTACAAAGTACAACACAGCTTTATATGAAGAAATTTACAACTTCCCTCCTTAAGTGGAGAGAATATTTATCTTCTGTTGTTTGCAAACCAGTCAAAAGAGAAGTGTGAGATTTCTAAAATGAAGCAAAAATCTTCAAGGAGAAAGCTGCATGGGTTCCTGCTATTGTCCTGAAGTTTGATTTCATTTTGATGTTTTCTGCATAGTCCTTTTGTGTCTTTGTGTGTCTCTGTGTGTGTGTGTGTATCAATGTGTTTCCATCCGGATGACATCATTAAGATGTTTAATCCCCAATAATGCCAAAAAATGAAATCATTTCATCGGTATATATATTTTTAGAGCATTTTTTATATATTGCCCTCTGGCTCGCCAACAAAATCGTGCCAAGTTACATGATGTTCATCAGCATGGGGATCAGAAACTGTTCATTTTAATGTCTTAGGCTGGCCTTTGTTTAAACATTTCCATTGTATTTAACATGAAGCTCTATGAAATCCAAAATACTGAGCTATCTCTTATCATATTCAGTAAAAATAATGAGGAACAGATAATAGCATATTTATACTGTGGTGTCCAAAAAAAAAAAAAAAAACAAAAGACAGGGAGAAGAAAAGATCTTTTAAGAAAAAAAACCCTATGCATACTTTGAAGTTGAGAAGAATATTTCAGCAGAAGTGGTTAAGAGCACACCCAGGCTTTGTGAGCTCCCAGCTGCTGGACCTTGGGCGGGCCTCCACTTTCTCATCTGTAAAATGGACATGACAGTGACTACTGCAGAGTCAAATATGTCCATGCTGGCAAAGCACAGAGCCTGAAAGAAAATAAATTCTCAAAACTGTAGCTAATATTATTAACTTGCCCCAGGTGACTGGATTAGTGGGTGGGCAGTTGAGATCAGAACCCAAGTTTGCCTGAATCCAAAACCCATGAGAAATCTTTTCAGTTTACATGTTGTTTCAGGAATTACACATGGTTGTTCTCAGGAGGGCAGATGTTTTGCTACCGACTTCCCCGCCACAAGCCCCCTGAGGACAAAGGAGTGGAGGCCCTCTCGGTTGTGCGATAAAACCGACAAACAGTCTTGAGCGTACTGTGCTCCGTACTTACAGAAGATGGATGACGTTGAGATTCCCAAACAGCTTCTGGGTAAATTTTCTAATGAGGTTTTTGATACAGTAAATATCGTGTGACTGTGTTCTTCGGCAGTGAACCACTTCCGCCTTTCCTCTTGGAGAAGTGAGTATCGACATTTTTTATCCTGTCCCCAAAAGAGAGAAAAACAGCCCACCGTTAGCCAGAGATGACAAGCCAGTCTGGTCACAGTACTTGTAGGACGGAACATTCCCCCAGTTTCCATGCGGTCAGAGTGAACGTGGCATTCAGGGGCTGGTGGGACACATCTTCTCCTGGGGACAGGCTGGGACGACTGTCCCCGAAAGCCAGCTGACACGTTTCCCTCCAGGAGAACGATGTTTCTGAGAACTCGCCTGTCTAGGGATGTCTGCAACTGAATTCTTTGTTTCCCAGAAAGCAGCTTGAAAATATTCTAACAATAGGATTGAAAAACCTTGAGAGGGATTATGTGTTGGTTCAGGGTCCTCATGTTTAACCAACCACCACGGCACGTGGTCAGGCCCCCAAGGTTCCAGAGCCCCCCAGAGTGGAGCCCTGAGGGGCAGCAGGCCTGAGAGAGAGTTTGAGCCAAAAAGAGTCCTGTGGTCAAACCAGTGGCAGAAACGCTGCTTGCAAGGGCCTTCCTGAGCGGCCACTGGGCCCGCGAAAAGTCTCTGAGAAGCTCCAGAATGAAGCACCTGCTCTCTTTGTGTGACCCTGCCTTTCCCACGGCCAGTCTCATAGGAATCTCTAAGGACAGCAAAGGTGGAGTCTAACCTTCCAGAAAGACGCCCTGGGGCTGCTGACGGACAGGAGGCCACACAGCGATATCCATCTCCCTCGACGTCTCAGTGTTCAGTGTGCATGTGCCTGCTCCTCCTCTCTGTCCTTTCCTCCCTCCCAGACTCCCTCCCTCCACTCCTTTTTCCTCTCCTCTTGCTTCTGAAGAAAGACCGTCTTCTTATGTAGCGGCCAGTAAGCATGAAGACATGGCAGCTGACTTGCCACTGTCCGGGCTCTGGGCACAGCGGGGGGAGTGCCCCAGCGCCCCGGAAGGTGGCCTCTTAGCCCCCAGTCGGTTTGTCCCCCCAAAGGCGGCCACTCTCACTTCCCCTGCACGGATGACCTTTGCCAGTCTTGCGCCACAGATACGTGGAGCTCTCCAGTGTGCAGGGCTCCTCTGGAAGCATAGTGCTGTGCCCCTGGGCTTCCTGGGGCTCTAGCGGTTGAGCTCTACTCTTGCACACTCTCTACTTGGCCAAAGTGCCAGAGTTTGAGCATCACAGGGCCTGACACAGCCTGGGGCCAAGCTCCTTCTTTGTCAGATGAGGGAGCTGAGGCCTGTGAGGTGAAGTGACTTGTCTCAGGTCACATGTGTCCACTTGGGCATCTCCTTCTGCACCCCCAACCCCTGTGTATGTGGCCTGAGGGTGCCTCTGGGAGTAAGGGTCCCCTACCTCACAGTCTGAGAGTGTTCAGATTAACCGCAGTCCTCAGTGGGTATGTGTGCAAGGAGCAGGGTGATGCAGGGGTGCCGGGGAAGGGGACAGGTGCTGAACCCTCACCCAGCGCCTTCTACTTGATGAATTCACACCACCCTCAACCTCACAGGCTTACAAAAGGAGGTTTGTCAGTGCTCTCCAAGCAAACCCAGCCCTTGGGGTGGCCCTGCCTTGTCCAAGCTCACAGAAATTGAGAGGAAAGTCTCCCATGCCAGTTTATTCATCTCCGATGGGAAAGCCAACAGCGGGCAGCCCAGATGTTTCTGTAGCCCAGACAGTTAACAAGCAAGTCTGACTTCTTCTCCTCTGACAGAATAGGGTGGTGTGGACTGTCTCTCCATCTCATGGGGCTACAGGCCCCTGTCTCACAGCCTTGCTGTCAGGGTGATGGAGATGAACAGGGGGACTCACATACCCTCAGTTCCAGCCAGGGGCTGCCTTGGGAAAATGTGGGCTCAGAACGGCAGATCTTCATGTTTTGCAAAGGAAGAAAGCCTTAGTATTTATATAACATCTCTGGGGGAAGGTATAACTCAGTGATAGAGTGTGTGCTTAGCACACACAAGGTCCTGGGTTCAATCCCCAGTACCTCCATTAAAAATAAATAAATGAACCTAATTGCCTCCCTCCAAAAAACAAAACAAACAAATGACAAACACCATACATAACATCTCCAAGATTTAATATATTGGCTCAAAATATTTTTCACACTCTGCAGACATAATTAAACTTTTCCCTAGGTGAGGTTGGCCTCCACCCCTGCCACAGCAAAGTCTCTCACATACTCTCTCTTTGGAGACCGACTACTTGGAAAGCCTGACCATCTGAAGGTGCCCTACATGGGGCTGCGGTCAAGAGCACAGGCTGTAGGATCAGAGTACCTGGGCTGGGACCCAGCTTCTATCGCCTATTAATTGTATGAGCAAGTTACTTAAACTCGCTGTGCCTGTTTCCTCATCTGTAAATCAGAAATGATCTGCACACTTCGGGGAGTTATACATCACACATCATCCTCACCAAAGAGTGAACCCTTATGTAAACTATGAACATTGGGTGAGGATGATGTGTGATGTCAATGCTGGGTCATCGACTATAACAAATGTACTACTCTGGTGGTGGATATTGATAGTGGGGCACCTGGGGCTGGAGGACAGGAGAAATGGGAATTTTATGTATCTTTCATTCAATTTTTTCAGTGAAAAAAATCCAAAGATCTAAAAAAATAAAGTCATTTTTTTAAAAAAAATTCTTTTTACCATTTGCGTGCACATAATTAATTTTTGGTTTTGAAGGCAGGTCAAGAACTTTACCAGCTAACATTTACTGAGCACTTTACATGGATTTTCTCTTTAATCCTGGTGAGATGTTATTTTCGTCCTATAGATAAGGGCGTTGGGGCTAAGAGAATTTACGAAACAAAGACATAGTCTCAGAAAGTTTAAAAATCTGTTTATCTGACAAGGCTGACTTATTTGCTAGTACTCTGATGATCTATTTTCACTTTTTTCTACTTCTTGGCTTTAAAATACCTTCTGTTATTTTTAATTACTAGCCTTAGTGCTATTTGGTCACAACGGTCCAGGAACCAAGGGTGCGTGGCCTTCGGAGACTACAAGTCCTAGAATGCACCGCGGCGCCGGGCCGCCTAGGACCACAACGGCTCGCCCCTTGGCATGCCGGGAGTGGTAGTTTTCTGGCCTGCCTCTCTTCCCCGCCCTCGGGCATCCGGACCGGAGCTCGGTTCCGATCCCCTTGCCAGTGCCACGGCTCCACAGATCCACTTGTCCCCACACGGTCATCCCCCTCCCGGAGACTACCTGGGCAGGCGCCCCTGACGTCCTGGACCCGACCCGCCTCGGACCCGACCCGCCTCCTTGCGCGACAACCGGTACAACTCACCTCCCCTGCAACTCCAGACGCGGTGCTCCAACTCCTGCTCCGAAGAGGACGCGCAGCCCGGTTACCACAGAAACGACGTTGCTCTCGTCACGGCGCAGGAGGTCAAAGGTCACAGAGGCCAATTCCGCTTCCGGTCTCGGAGTCCCTCTTGTTGTTGGATAGCTTTGCTGAGCGGGCGAGCCCTCAGGGTCAATTTCCGGAGTCCAGGGCTCGCCCGAGGGCTGCTGTTACAGCCATGGCGGCCTCCACCGCAGCAGGGAAGCAGAGGATCCCCAAGGTGGCCAAGGTAGGCGGCGGCGAGGGGCCTTGTGGGAGGAGGCCTGGGAGAGAGGGTGGCCCGGCCTCCGTGTTGCGCGGGGCGGGAGGGCGTGTGGTCCCGGAAGCCTGCCCGCCCCGTGCGGGGCCGCGAGGGGGAGGGTCAGCGGGTGGGACGCGCACCCCGCGTCCGCGGTCTGGGCAGGTGTTTATGCGGCGGCAGGAATCGGGTCATTCCACGCAGCTCAGCTGAGCTAGGCGGCGCGCTAGGCGCTGGGGAGCTCTCAAATCAGACACTAGGAAGTGTAAAATTGCAGCCTTGCCAAGTGCCAGTGAGGCCAAGTGGAATATGCCATGGGATACTGGGCTTGAGCGAGGAGTCTCCGGATTCACTTTGCTGAGAAGTGATAGTTAAGCTGACCCTTGAAGGCTAATAGGAGTTAGCCCAGTTGAGAGTGGAAGGAGCGAGAGTAGATGACAAGAGCTGTGTGCTGGCATCGTTTAAGTTGATTAAACCAGAAGTCTGATAGGATCTGGTTTTTCCATCGGTGGCTAGTACTTGCCGAGTGCTTGATATATGACAGGCTCTATGCTAAGCCTTTACTCTCCCTCGGGTCCGTTTCTGCAGCCCAGAAGGCTCTCTCGAGCCTGTCCTTTACTTACCATTTAGATGACTCCCGGCGATAGTGCATTTAAAGCACATAGCTCAGTGCCTGGCACTTAATACTCGTTAGACATGAGCTATCACCATTATTACCGTCATCATTCCACACAGGGCAATAAATAATATTTCTTATAATTCAATTCCATAAACTTTTATTGGGCTCCACGGGTTCAGTAGAAATATAACGTGAGCCACATGTGACTTTAAGTTCTCTCAAAGCTACAGTAAAAAGTCAAAACAGGTGATGTTAATTTCAATTATTTATTTTATTTAACCTAGTATATTCAAGATACTGGCGTTGCAACATGTAATCAATGTTAATATTCTGATTAGGTAGTTTTTTCTTTTTTTCCCACTAAGCCTTCAAAATCCAGTGTGTGTTTTACATACACAGCTGATCCCAGTTTGGACTCATCACATGTGGTTCATGGTTACTGTGTTGGACAGCACAGCTCTAAGACCTTAAGAAGCTTACAGTCTTAATGATGGGAACTTACTGAATATGTCTTTGACTTGAAATGCCATGAAAAATCGAGTGCAGTTATCTACCTGGGGCATAATTTGAAGGATTCTGTAAATAGAGGTTGAAATGCTAGATCAGATATGGCCCCACATCCTGACAAAACAGAACCTCTGGTGAGAATTTTCCTTAGGCAGCCTCAAAGTTTATCATTATACAATTCTAAAAGGGAAAACTTGCTGTTTTGGCTACCTTTTCTCTTGAGACTTCTACCTATGGCTTTGTAATAAATACAAAGATAGAAAACAAAAATTTTTTAAATATATTTAGTTTGATAGAGAAAAGGGACCTTGTCATGCAAAGAGCACATCTTGTTATAATGTTTGTAAAGTTCACATCCTAAAAAAAATGTCATTTGTTTCTTAAACCTTGTGTGAAGAGCATCTACTAAAAATAGGACTGTCTTCTGTCTTAAAAGGTGAAAAACAAAGCCCCCGCTGAGGTGCAGATAACTGCGGAGCAGCTTCTGAGAGAAGCTAAGGAAAGGGAGCTTGAGCTCCTTCCACCTCCCCCTCAACAGAAGATCACCGATGAAGAAGAATTAAATGATTACAAACTCAGGAAGAGGAAGGTCAGTCACTGCAGGATCCATCAGTCTGTTGACATGGTGGGGAGTTCATAGGTCAGAGATGGAAAAGGTCGTCACTGGTTAGAGAGATGGTAAGATAAAAGGTTAGTGGTTCTAGCCACGTGAGTAATGTAGCTTCTGGTTACCAGATGATTGCATTTTGCTGAACTTTATAAAACCTGCCATGAGTTGTCTGTCTTAAAGTATAAAGAGATTAAATCCACCAGAGACAGATTTTCAGTGTGGAATTAAAGATGGGCGGAAGTTTAACAGGCCGAACAGCTGACGGCTGGAGGAGGGTGGGCACGGCGAGGTCGCGCTGGGTGCCCCCGTGTGTAGCGCCTTCTGTGTGAAGTAGTGGAACCTGCAGAGGAGCCCTAAGAGGACCTGGGGTTCTGACCTGACCGCCGCCTCGCCCTGGGGTGGGGGTTGTTTTAAACCTCTCAGTGAGTTCTGTATGGCTTTCTGAGACATTACTGAGAGGACCTAAGTAGTCAAAAATGTTGTCTCCTTAGGAACAAGTGTAGAGTCTATTAAAATATCACTTGTTATGGACAATAAGAAAATATCAACAATTCTGCTAATCGTTCTTTCTACCTAAAGTTTTTCTCTTTGTTTGCGTATAAGACTTTTAAACACTTGTGACTGTAACCTTCTTCAGTGGGGTTCTTCTTTCTCAAGGATTCCAGGATGTGATTTCTTTTAAATAAGAACAAAATGAATAACCTTCTTAGTACAAGGATTAACAGACAAAAGCTGATGCCATTTTTAGTCATTTTCCTTTTAATTTGACTCTCTGTCTTTTGCCAGACTTTTGAAGATAACATAAGGAAAAACAGGACTGTGATTAGTAACTGGATAAAATACGCACAATGGGAGGAGAGTCTAAAGGAGATTCAGAGGTAAGATTAACCAGCATGGGATGGTGTGTGTGGAGATTCGTAAGTCACCAGATACAGAAACATGGAAAAGGCTCGAGTAAGAGCCTCGGGTGACAATTCTCAGTTTGTTCCGTGGAACCCCAAGGCTCCTTCGGGGACCTCAGGGACCACTGTGGGAGGACTGTCCTGGGTAGGGGGTGGGCTGGAGGCCCTGCGGCTGGGCTTCCCCACCCGCACCCACTCCACAGCCAGAGGTGCAGGTTCATCTGCTTTCTCTATATTGGGATTTTTTTTTTAATAAAAATTGATCCACTGAGACCCAGTGGCCAACAAGATGAAAACCACGACCTGACCCTTCCTGTTGTCCAGCCTCCCTGCGTCCTCCCAGTGCACCTGGCCCTCGCTGTGCCTCCCTGAACACAGCCTGTGTCCTCCCCTGGCCCTTGGCTGTTCTCTCCCTGGCGCGAGCACCCTCCCCACGCACCGTGGCCTCTGGAACTTTCCTCAAGTTCTCACCTACTGCTTAGTCTTTGCCACCAGACATTTTTATTTCTTCCCCTCTACTTGATGCAGGTCTTGCCTGTAACGTTGGTCACACCGCATTGCAATGACGTGCATGTCAGTCCTTCCCTAAGTCTTTGTAAGATTCCTGAGAACGTGGCATCTTTTCCCCTCCCCACACTCAGAACCGGCTCACAGGCAACGCTGACAGTAGCAGAGCTCCGCAGACGGTTTCACACAATTGGCCACGTGTGTTGCATGCACGTACTGCTTTTAACACCCTCCAAATCTTGCATCTCAAGGGCTCGATCCATCTACGAACGTGCTTTGGATGTGGACTATCGGAATATCACACTCTGGCTGAAATATGCAGAAATGGAAATGAAGAATCGCCAGGTGAACCACGCCCGAAATATCTGGGACCGGGCCATCACGACTCTGCCTCGGGTCAACCAGTTCTGGTAAGTTTCTGACCTAACGAAATGGCCTTTTGAGGACTATGAAGTTCTGTGCTTTTGTGTATTTATTTTATGTACATAGTTGTAATCGTATATTTTTAACCTTATATCCAAGTTTGTCTTTAAACATACTATCAGTACTTTTTAATGTCTTTTAGTCTGTTAAGCCATAATCACAATGTGTAATAGCTGTGTCATCAAAACTAAAATTAATGGGGGAGGGTACAGCTCAGTGGCAGAGTGTGTGCCTAACATGCACAAGGTCCTGGGTTCAATCCCCAGCACCTCCATTAAAGATGAGTAAATAAATAACCTAATTACCTCCCTTCCCCAAAATTAAATACATAAATAAAAATTTAAAAAACTAAAATTTAAAAAAAACCCTAAAATTTTGGTTGCAACTTTTATGCATGAGAAACTTCTTGTTGAACTAAGTAGTTTTTGAGAAAAAAGTACCCTATTTTCCAATGATTCATCTTTTTCGAATTTGTATTTTAAAAAGAAAGCGTGTTGACTTAACCTTCAGAGGAGATACAGCCCTAAACCTACCTCACGGTTAACAAGTTCAGAGCTAGAAGCTGCCAAAGGCCGTCTCTTCCTGAGGTCATCTTGACAGGGAGGGCGTTGCGGGTGGTTTGTTGAAGGTACAAGTACACGTACATGGAGGAGATGCTGGGGAACGTTGCCGGCGCCCGGCAGGTGTTCGAGCGCTGGATGGAGTGGCAGCCGGAGGAGCAGGCCTGGCACTCCTACATCAACTTCGAGCTGCGGTACAAGGAGGTGGACCGCGCCCGTGCCATCTACGAGCGATATATCCTTTGGACGAGGGCTGCGTGGTGCCCGTAGGGTCCTGGGTGCTGTTCTCGGAGGAGGGGTGGTCCTGGCTGCGACGCCTGGTCCTTGATGTTGGCCTAGAAGTCAGGGGTGCATTTCACCTGCTTCCTGAACTGCGTGCGTGTGTTCTAGGACTCAGGTTGGGCGGGGTAAATCTGTGGGCTGGGCAGTTGGGTCTCTTCCAGGGAGACTGGGTTTGTTTGTATTTTGGCGTTAACACTGTGGTTCCTTGAGGAAGATGACCTGCTGGGGCCCTGGCCACTGCAGCCAGGCCTGCTTTTTTCTGGGACGTATGTTATTAGCACTCTTACCGGAGTCTGTCCAGAGGTTTGCTGATGACTGCCTGGGGACCTCAGCGCGTCGGGAGTGACTGCCTGTGCCCTGATGTCCTCGTCTTTAAGGACGGAGTGAAAACCCCCACTGCGGGCTGGCTGTGAGGAGGGGATGATGACACGGGACAGCGCTCGCAGCAGTGGAAGTGGTTGACTTTATAATCTGTGACTTCTACCTGCTAAAACTTATTTGTAATCCCAAAATCAGTACTGGCGTCCCATTGGCAGTTGTTGGCACACAAGCTCAGAGTGACAGAAAACTTGAATCAGCCGAGGCACGTGGTCCCAGTTGAGGACAAACAAAACGACCACCTGCTGTCTTGTCTGCTCTCAGGCAGAGGTTACCTGGGCGGGGGACGGGAGGGGTGGTGCAGCGCAGAGCAGGACGCGTGGGCTCTGGGGCCAGTTGGCGGGGGCTGCGTAGTGGGTGGCCCCGGGCAAGTCACTGAAGACTTCTGAAGCTTGTTTTCTCTTTTATAAAATGAAGTAGAAGCTACCAGCATTAGCTGTCTTTAGGATTGAGGACCACAGCCCACGCGCGACGTGCACGTGTGAGCCGCGCCTCCCTGCGGCGGTGGTTCGGTGCTCTCCGCTGGCGGTGGCGGCGTGACTTCACAGAACACGACCGCTGCGGGACGCAAGGCTCCCCTTCCCTCTGCAGGTTTAAGGTCTTGGTCAAGACTGCTCATTTTGATGTTACTAGTTTGACAAAAGCATTTACAGTGCTCACTGTGTGCCAGGCTCCATTCTGAGCACCGCGCGGGTACTGTCATTTCATTCCCACGACAGCCCTGCGATGCAGGGACCGCTGTGTTCTACAGAGGGCGCCGCCGACGCAGCGGATGGGGTCTCAGGGCGGGGGATGATGGAGGCGGGGTTCGAGCCCTCAGCCCTGCTGGCTGTGCTGCTACTTGGGAATCAGTGACTTCCTCAAAGCAGGGAGATTCAGAGTAGACACATCCTGTTAAGTGACGTGGTGAGTCACAGCTTTCTCTCTTGGTTCTGGTTAGCAGTTCTCCTTTTGTGACGTGTGTTTTTCTTAGTCATTACTTGAAATTTTAATGTTCTTGAGCGAACGCTGTAATAGGTGCCCTACATTGAGCACGTCCTTTTGGCTAGAAATGGCCAAGAGTTTCACACACATTTTTCTCATTTGATGCTGGCGATCATCGGATGGGGTTGGTTGGTATTATTTTTCTCTATTTCTAGATGATAAAACTGAGGCTAAGAGAAGAGAAATGACTTGTCCACATCACATGGCTAGTAACAAGGCTCAGCTTTTTCACGGCTGCAAACCCCTGCGTGGACCACTGAGCGAGCCCTGGAGGAGGCCAGACCTCGGTGGCCCCAGGTCGGGTGGTCTCCGCCTCGATGTGTCTTACCACCCGCTAGCCATGCTGTGTGTCGTTGGGGCTTTGGCTTTGGGTTTGTTTTGTTTTGAAGCCACGTCATCCTGCCCGGTGTTTCTTTAACCCCCTCCCCACTTGTTCTCGTGCACCCCGACGTGAAGAACTGGACCAAGTACGCCCGCTTTGAGGAGAAGCACGGCTACTTCGCCCACGCGCGGAAGGTGTACGAGAGGGCCGTGGAGTTCTTCGGGGACGAGCACATGGACGAGCACCTGTACGTCGCCTTTGCCAAATTTGAGGAAAATCAGAAAGAAGTAAGCAGACGTGAAAGGACTCGGTTACGTTGCAGAACAGCTTAGAGGAGGTGCTGCTTGTGCACATTGTGTTCATTCCCATGTTCTTGCTCACTTACCCTTGGAGAAATGTTTCAGGATACAAGACCCTGGTTTCTCAGGGAAGACAGCATACCTTGTGGCTCAGCTGCAGGTGGGGAGCGAGTGATTAGAGACAGTATCGTAAGTGTCATGACTTCGTCGTGCTTTGCTTGAAAAATAAGTCTTTCAGCCGAGAATGAGAATGTTATCTACAAGCTGTGTGAGTCGTGTGGGGTCCTGATCAAAGGGCTTCACGGCTAGTGAACCTGGGAGACCAGAAGCCCAGAGGCCTCAGTGCAGAGAGAATTTCTCCACAAGTCAGTCAGTTCTCTTCTCCGGTAGCGTATACAGAAAGTGACCCTGCAAAGTAGCTCAAATAACACAGGATCGGGAGGGGTCAGCTGAGGTCTGAGTGCAGGGCCTGGCACGGGTCGCAGTAGGGAGCCCCGATTCTGCCCTGAGGCCCGTGGAGGTACTGAGGGTTTTAATTAAGCAGGAGCAGCTGGGACACAGTCCTGCTGTAAGGAGGGCCTCTGGCTGATGGATGGAGGTTGTCCTAGGGGGAGGGGGCTGGAGCGGAAGTGGGACACTTGGACCGGTTCGGGGAGAAGTGGAGATGGAGCGGCTGGGGCCCAGGGAGGGGCAGGCACAGGGCTGTGCTGAAGGTAGAGGTGGCCGGGCTGTGGGGGCAACGAGTGTGGGACTGAGGGCTCTGGGAGGACTCGGGTTGAGCCAGTGCCCCGTGGCAGGGGTGGTTCACCAAGCTGGGGCGTCTGAGGTGTGCATGCGTGGATGGCGTCTGTGGGCTGGGCGGGGAAGGCTGCTCCACGCGAGGCTCGGGGAGTGCGGCAGCCCCTCCTGCCTGAGCGGCTCAGCAGAAGGGAGAAGAAAAGTCGTGTTTTGAGGCCTCACATTCCGACTTAGAAGTAACATCTGATGTCGTGATTACTTCCCACGCTATGACTTGAATGACAATTCTGTGTCCTGGAAGCTCATCGTCCCGTCTGCTTTCAGTTTGAGAGGGTGCGAGTGATCTACAAGTACGCCCTGGACAGGATTTCAAAGCAGGAGGCCCAAGAGCTCTTTAAAAACTACACCATCTTTGAGAAGAAGTTTGGTGACAGGCGGGGCATTGAAGACATCATTGTGAGCAAACGGAGATTCCAGTATGAGGAAGAAGTGAAGGTGAGTGCAGGGTCCGCGCCACGCTGCAGTGAGCGAACCTGCCTGCCTGCGCTGGCTGCGGTGCCGCGAGTCGGGGCTCCCAGTGATCACTCCCTCCATCCCGTGTCTGCAGTAAACAGGTGGCAACTGCAGGCCGGTGGGAATGAGCAGGGCTGGTAGAAAAGGCAGGCAGGCCGCACAGGAGTTTGCCCCTCACATGCTGGAAGTCATTTTATGGGTTGCTGGTTGTGTCCTGTAGAAATTGAGCAAAAGAAACCTGGAATCCATTTGAGCTCATTTTTTTTGAAAGAAGGTGGAAGAGTCAGAGATTGATCCAAAAACCCCATTTTTGTTCATTACCCTTTAGCTTAACTGCTTGAACAAAAGACACATTGTAGTTACGGTTCCATTCTCTTCTCTGTCTGTAAGGTACTGTTTTGATTGGAGTTCAAAGGTAGTAATGTTTTTCTTTACTCTTCTGCTGTGTATTTAAAAATACTTCTGCTTGGTCCAGTTAATTCAGAAATCTCCAAAGGACCAAGTCTGGTGTTAAATGAGGTCAGTGGGGGTACGTTCAAGATGTGTCACTATTGAAGAGGTTGGTTTTGCGACTGTGCGCTTGGTATAATTCCATTGTAATTTTAAATCTAGATATAATGCTATGTACGTACTCACATATGTAAACAAATACCCTTACAGAAACAGAAGTCTGTTTTTATAGCCATAGATACTGGGAAGTTTACAGAGTCACCAGGAGGCTGGAGGACCGGGCTTGGACGACAGGCAGGAATCAAGGCAGTTGCAGAGGGTCCTGAAGCAGGAGGTGGGACAGTCCCATTTCAGTCCGGCCAAGAGTGACTGTCCCACCCATGGACACCACTTCACGGACCAGCTCTAAATGTGCTTCACTTCTGGTCACCCGCTCAGATGAGGCAGACCCTCGAGCAGGGCTCCTTAATTGGCCCAGTGCGGTGGCTGCGGGGGGGCGGGAAGGCGGGGGCCGGCCCCTTCCCCTCTGTAGGGGAGGCGTCGCAGGGCGCTGCCCAGAACAGTGGTCTTCGCTGATGACCAGGTGCTCCTTCGTTTAGGGGGAATAAAACAGTTATTAACCGATTTTGAGATATTTGCCTCTAAGTCATTTTTCCATTTATACCTTTTACAAAAATTAAAAATTAGCATAGTCCAGAGAAGTAGGCTGGTGTAGGTGAAAGGCGCTTCGCTGAGGGACATCTGTTCCATATTCCTTGTCCATTTCTATTTATAACATCTCAAGAATGGCATTTTTTTAAACGAAACAGCACACGAAATCTAGAAAAAAGCAGCTGAAGTACAGAAGGTCGGTCTGGTGCCGGCTCCGGCTCCCCGGGCCCCGCCGGCGCAGCCCTCGGCCGGCTTCCACCCCTTGGACCTGTCTCCCTAGGCCAACCCGCACAACTACGACGCGTGGTTCGACTACCTGCGCCTGGTGGAGAGCGACGCGGAGGCGGAGGCGGTGCGGGAGGTGTACGAGCGCGCCGTTGCACACGTGCCGCCCGTGCCCGAGAAGAGGCACTGGCGGCGCTACATC